TAATTTTATTCTATCATTACTTTGAGCAGGTCACTGTTTAGCATCTTCAGAGAGCTCATCAAAAATTGTCACAATCTCCTTAGGAGTCTTCTTCATTAAAGGACCTCCCAATGTAGTGTTCAGAGTTCTTCGTGAGGGAGGTGTCAGTCCATCCCAAAAGTCCTGGAGTTGCATCCACAACTTAATCCCATTATGCTGACACTTCCTCACTATCTCCTTGAATCTTTCCCAAGCCTCGAAAACAGTTTCAGTGTTTTTCTAGCAGAAGTTGTGAATTTTCCTTCTAAATTTCATTGTTTTTGTAGCTTGGAAGTATTTGTCAAGAAACTTTTTAGCCATGTCTTCCCATGCCACGATCGACCCGTTGGTAAGCTACAAATCCAGTATTTCGCGTCATCCTTCAATGAAAAGGGAAATGTCCTTAGATAAACTACATCTTTTGACACTCCATTGTACTGGAAGGTGTTCATGATTTCCTCAAAATCCATCAAATGCGTGTTAGGATCTTCATTAACCTTCCCTTTGAAGACACAAATGTTATGGATAGTTTGAAGCAAGCCTTGCTTCAATTCAAAATTGTTCGCTGCTACTGGTGGAGGCCTGATACTGGATAGTCCCTGACTGTAGACTGGTCTGGCATAATTAGCCAATGCTACCCCAGGCTTAGGTGCAACATTCTCAAATTGGTCTTCAATCAAGGGTCGATTTAGATTGAATCTGCGACCCCTATTATCTTCGACGGTCTCCTCAGCAGCTCTACTAGCTGCCTCAGTTGATATCCTTTGAACTTCTTCTCTAAGTTGTGTTGCCTCTCTTGCAGCTAAATTTACCTCATCTTCGATGTTATTAGCCATGTGTTCTTGGATTGAATGTTGCCCCAAGAACTTTCCGGTGAGTTCTTTCTCTTTCCTCAACTGTCATAGACTCTTTTCTATCTCTGGATTATATAGAATCAATTCCTTTGAAGAAAATTAAGGCATACACTAGAGACGTCAATCTGTTGCCTGCACACAAAAAAGGAAACGTGTGAAGATAAAAAGAAAAATAAAATAAAATAAAATAATTTCCTGAATTAGCACCAAAAACTAATATGAACACTATTGATTGACAATCCCCAACAACGGCGCTAAAATTTGACGAGCGCAAAACATAATACAAAATTGATACTCACTAATTAAAGATAGTATAGTATAATATCGTCTCCGCAAAGATTGCATTTAAACAATGTTCGAGTAATTCCTGGTTTAATTTTTATTCAGTAGGATCAACACTTTAGCTAAATGATTATGAACTAAGTTTAACTACTAAAATAACGCAACTGACAATTAATAGCAAGGAATTGGAGATTTGCAGAGTGGTTTCTTATCAATACGAGAGATAAGGGTTTGACATGATAGGTGCAAGATAGTTATTTGAGATTTAACTCTAGTTTAATTCACTCTAAAGTTCTAAAGATTTTCACGAATTCACTCTATGATTAGTTCAAACGTGTAGTCAAGACTCCTCTCTCGATTAAATCTTAACTCTACGAAGTGAACTAATATAAGCACTGTGAAGTATACAATTAGAGCTCATGGCTTTGTAAAAGAACACTTTGACATTTTCTAGAGATTCTTGCTTTATTACATACATACAAAAGATACCTTTTTTCTTGAGATCTCTGTCTAGTCTTCACCCCACAATCCAAGGAGAATCCGAATATTCAAAGGCCCATCAATCAATTATCATTGTTAGAAGGAACATTACACGATTCCATCCCCTTTTTCGGTCATATCTATTACATCTATTTACTTCAATATCATCATACATCATTTATTGCTATTTATATCATATTTACGCCATTAAGCATTGTTCATTATCATATATTTATCACTATTACCACATATCTAGTAATATTTTGTCACGACACTAGTTAAATAATCTAGTGGATATTATTATTAGCTAATATTAACCATGCCTTGTTAAAAAAATTTAATTGTTTAAACCTAGATCTAAATTTTGGTCAAACACTTATGTGCTCTCGATAGCACAAACCTGATCTATAATTACTCTTATTAATAGTTGAATACATTAGCCAACTTGGCCAAAAATAATAGTAATACTTGATCTAATAAGAAGCTCGATTGTCTGATTAACTGAACCTTGAAATGGTCTCAGCTCAAAGCTAAATAAATAAAAGCATGTAGCAAGTTATTCCTCCCACCAAAACTCAAGGCTTAATGCTTAATTACAGAATGTAACTATTTAAATGTCTTAATAAATCTGTTTAGTTATGACTTTACTCTTCAATTATGGGTTGTATTAATAAAAGAGAAAATATTCGGTTATATAGCAAGTTACATAATTTACTACTTTAGGGAAGTATATCAGCCAATTAATTAACTAAACCTTAATACCTAACTCCAAGAAAGTAACATACTTCAATTTATGTCAAAAGCTTAAGTTATGTTACTCTATACTACTGTATACATATTATACGACTCCATCTGGTCCTTTTTACTTGTCGTTTTAACCAAACAAATTTAGTCCAAAATAATTGTTGCTTTAGAAAACAGAAAGGCATTGATTATCTTTTCTCTAAATTGATCTATCCTTAATCTGATAAAGATTTTTATAATTTTCTAAAAAGTTTGAGAGGTAAAAGGTAATTTAGATAAATTATTATCATTATTGATGCTATTAAATGATTTTTTTTGTGTGATATACACACACACAATTTCTTTTTCTATCGTCTATCAATATAGTATATTACACAATTTCTTTTTCTATTTCTTCTATCAATATAGTATATTTGTGTTTTGTGACTTTCCATATTCTTTTATATTCCGAAAGGTCGTTACCTGATATCTTTAAATAGCCATTTTCTTTCTTCCTCCGACTCTACTTAATCAACAAAAGGATTTTCAATTCTTCGTTCTTTCTTAAATCTTTTATTTAAAGATTATGCTTATTTAGATATATAGCTTAAAATGAACAATGCGTAATTAGAAGCTTACTCGTTTCTTTAGCTGAGGACAAATGGAGGAGCCAGCTTACTCATTTCTAAAGCTTACTCGTTATCACTTTGGGTCTCCGATTAATCCAATCGTGTTGAATAAGACTCATGAAAGGAGGAAGCACTCTCCTACCAAGATTTTTTTCCATTCCCTAGAATCAAACCAGAGGTTTCTAATTAAGAGTGAAGGAATCATATTTATCCCATCACGACCCTTGCGCCTCGGCGAGGGGCTAGCTTTAGAATCTATTGACTCTTTAATATTTGTATATTATCTTTGCTTATACTCAGAGGCAAAGAATTTCTCAACCCCCCCCAAACCCCAACCCCAGCCATCCCATCTGTTATTCTTACACGCATCTTACTAAATTATGTTAGAAAACTGAAAAGTTATCCAACCAACAAGATTATGCCTCTTCACCAAAATTTTGGGTCCCACCAATCCTATTATCCAATCAAATCTCTTGATTTTATGGCCTCTCTTTTTCATTTTCTTGATCCCTTTGGCAATCCATCCCCCTATCCAACAACTACCCTCTAGTTCATCCCCCACCCACCCCCTTACCAACTTCCCTCTCTCCCTTTCTTGAGTTATTGCCATATTTCATCAAAAATTTTGCAAGTTTAGCCAAAAACAAGAAGTTGGGATGATGGCAGGTTGGTTGATGAATAACCAAAAGTTAAGTCCTATGGGTTTGATCAAAGATGAAATGGCCATGAATTACATGTTTGGCCAAAAATCTAATCTTGATCTTATGCAAAATTGTGACTTGCCTCCACCTCTCAAGGTATTTTCTGGCCCTGATAAAACAGTGCTATCACCGACGAATAACGTATGGAGGGTGATAGAGGAGGATGATCACAAGGAGGCGAATATAGAGCCTAAACAAGAACTGGGGAGTGACAGGTTCGAGCTGCTAAAGGCTTTGAGACGATCACAAACACGAGCAAGAGAAGCAGAGAGGAAGTGCCAAGCACTGCATAAAGAAAAAGATGCACTATCGAATTTTCTGATAGAAGAATCAGCACGATCGCGAGCTTATAAGAATTGGATCAAAGTTCTTGAGTTACAAATCCTGCAGTTAAAAACACAACAGCAGCAGCAGCTGCAACAGGTTGATAGATTGCACAAGACAAAAGAGGATGAAGATAAGAATGCTGCAAATGGTGTAACATGGTTTATGGCTGTTGCATTATGTTTAGGCATAGCTGCAATTGGCTGCAGATACCTGCTTTAATTTACTGACTCTTTTTTCTGCTTTCTTGCATCCAATTAAAAACCAGGTGTACATAGAAACACTTTGTTTTGCAGTTGAGAAGATTAGCTTTATCAGGTATTGTTATAGTACTATGATGTTGGAAACACAACAACAATAATAATAACAAACTCAGTATAATACCACAAGTGGAGTCTGGGAAGGATAGCGTATACACATACTTTACCCCTGGAGCCTTGAAGGTAGAGAAGTAGTTTCCGAAAAAACCCCAACTCAAGCAAAGATTAAACGAAAGCAGTAGCAACAAGCAGTAACACCAGCAAGATATTAAAAAAACAAGCATAATGAACATGTAGTAATAGAAATTTACCAATAATAGAAAACAAGGCTAACTACTAATCCTACTGGTACGGGAAAGACACACACGACTACCTACTAACCATGCCCTAATTTTTGACTTTCACACCTTCCTATCAAGGATCATGTCCTCGGTGAACTGGAGCAACACCAAATCCAACCTAATCACCTCCCCCGTACTTTTTTGGTCTACCTCTACCTCTCTTCAGACCCACTAAGGCCAACCTCCCACACCTCCTCACTAGGGCATCTGTGCTTCTCCTTTTCACATGCCCAAACCATCTTAGTCTCGCTTCCCGAATCTTGTCCTCCACTGGGGCTACTCCTACCCCGCTCCGAATATGATGTTGGAAAAGCAGAATTAACCAAATGCTACAAATTAGACAAACTGTATTCTTGTAATAACGCCATTTAACTTTTCACAGGCTACATCAAAGGTTCTGAACACACAAATATATGCATGTGGGTGTTTGTATACATATAGGAGCAAATAGTACTGTCTCACAAGAGGGGGATTTACTACATAAACATAGATATATATATTTACATAAAAAGCTCTGGGTTACATAGACAGGCAAAGATTTACATGAATGCTTCATAAACTATGGTACCCTAGTTATCACGTAATGGAAAGGTGAATATTCCTCAAATGGCCATAGCAATTCTCACTGCTGTCGAAGAACTCCAAGCAAACCCAGCAAACATGTTTCCCGCACCTACACTCGATATGATTGCAGCCGTCTATCTTCTCAATTGTAAAGCTGCAAACTGGACATTTCTTGACATTCTCTTTCCCCTTGGACCATTCCTTTAGAGAGGAATCGGGATCGTTTTTAAACTCCTGGTACATCTCACATGAAAGGTATGGATGATACTCGAGGTGGCATCTAGTACACGTCTCCACAAAGCATGCACCACAGACAAAAGGTTCACCAACCATACCAGGATCCGCAACACGATAAATTGAAGGGCAATCGGGTGAGGGGCAAAAGCGGTAGGTACCCCCATTGGCTGCCACAAAAGCCCCCAATGAAGCCCTGAAAAGTTCCTCCAACTTGTCACTCGACAATAGCGACTTCAAATCAGCAAGCAAAATGGGTTCCCTACAACCTTGACGCATACAGCAGACGGGGAAACCTTCCCGGCTTTTGATCGCGGACTCACATTGCTCTAGCAAGCATGACCGACAGAATAAATGAGCACAAGCTTCAAGTCTATAAGGATCCTCCAGTTCACACAAGCAAACAGGACAGTCAGCCTCATCTCCCGTCGTTTGAGTTGGTAGACCGCTTCTTTGAGAAATTTCACAGATTAAGTCCTCAACTTTTTGCTTCAAGTCTTTACTACCATTGATACAGATGCAATGGCGCTTTGTGTTCAGAGAGAATACTGCCCCAGGCACCTTTTCTTTAAGGCCATTAAGATCTGGTCCAAACGTCTGAACAACTCTTTTCATCAGGTCAGGAGGTAAATGTTGTCCACGAAGATGAACTTCAAGTTGCTTGCTTTCATGTAGCTCCAGAAGGGAATCTATTAATCTCTGCTGCGCCCTATCAACATTATCTGAAGAGCCAAAGATTCGTACAAGTAGGTTATGCTTGTCAAAAAGAATATAGGTTCCTGTCTCCCGCTGAATCCTGTTCATAATGTTAGTTCCTTCGCGAGAGAAGAGAAGTTGAACAACTGTTGGAGTAATGTCCATGTGATCTACAATCTTGCCTTTCATAAGTTGCTCCAATGGCCTTCTCATCTCTGCCACAACTTTTGTAGCAATGGCAGATATCTTAACTCTATAGGAACCGTTATCATTTCTCACGAGGTTGCATTCCACACCTGCAAAACAATCAAAATTTCTTCTCACCAACCAGTTAAATAAATCCAGGATTATCTTAAATTATGATACAAATAACATTCATAACAGGTTGCACAATAAGCCCCCACTCTCTGCATTCCCTAGTTTTCTCCTATCCACAATCAAACACAAAAATGGAGAGGGGATCTGCAAGCCCCTTCTTGTGGAGGAGGTCTCGACATAAAAGACAACAAAGTTTCATATCAACCAATAATCAGTGCCACTAAGAAAATTTAGAAGAGTGCAACAGGAATGTCAACAACAATATAAAAAGCAGTAACACTTGAAGGCATGAAACCGGACACTTCAGCTTAAATTTTAAACCAAAATCAGCCACTTTACGTAAGTAACCCAGTTTGACATAGACATAACCAGCAGATCTCAAGACTTCATTTCTACTATCACCACTTTTACACTGACATGGAAACAGAAAATATTTCTAACAAGGGCCAATTTTTCAAGCAAAATTATATAGTGAGCTTCATAGTCAAAAGAATCCAGCAAATGATAAATTAAATTAACATGTAGTTTGTTAGTAAGAAATATGAAGGAAACACAGTAGCAGGGCATACCATTTCTTCGTCGGAGGCTAGCAAGTAAGGAATCCAGCTGGTTCCTGATAACATGATAAACTGGCGCAGGACAGGAAACAGAGCTGTGAAACAGTTGCTGACATATTATTTTCTGCCAGGAAAGGCATCCAGGCAATACCTTGCCATCAATTTGCTCCAAAGCCTTGGCTGCTTCAAGATGAAGACTTCCGTCAAAAGTGATAGCTGCTCTTGTGTAAGCATCCTTTGGTTCCGGCTGGAAGACCTGGACACGAACAGAGTTAACATATGGAATCCTATTAGGCATGAAGGGAGATATTACTTTCCTAAGTGCTTCTTCACAAGTAGCTACTGGAGGATCTTCTACAGCAGTTCCTCTCACCAAGAACAAATCCAGAATTCTCCTATTTGTTGATGCCCTCAACACCTCAAGTATCTCTGCCTCAGAAATCTCCTTATCAATTCCAGAAATGACCAAGTTGTCAGGATACTTATTGCTTGGCTCACAACGGATAATTCTTTCACCAATCATCAGGTCAGAGAAGTCATTTATCATAAATGCAACATCACTTGGGTCGCATTTTAAAAAGGCTAATCCTCTACTGTATTTACGAGGCCATTGGACTTTAGCTCTGAGAGCTGACCGGAACATCTTTTGATCACTGCCATGCATGCTGCTCCTAGACGGAACTACTTTCAGAAAGCCACCATTGAATTCCACTTGATCTAAGAATGCAGCTTGTTTTGCAGCATCAGGGGTAAGAAATGTCACCCTGCCCCACTTGTTCTCCTCACTGTCCTGGCCCATCCCAGAGGACTTATACACCGCACAAATACTACCAGACGTGGATCTCTCCAGAAACATCAGCAGTTCCTTATCATCGATCGCATTTCCATTTGAATGAAATATGTCCACAGTCAAACATCTCTTCTCAAGCTCCAAATGCTTTATCATAGCACCAGCTCCAAAGAGGGCAATAGAGGCTGAAGCTGCCGAACCTCCACTGAATAGGCATTTCTCTAAACATTCGTTCTGCAACAACTTACTTTCATACTCTAGGGCATCATTTACGCAGCAGGTAACACTCTTCATGTGTCTTGAAGAAGCATATAAAAGAACCTCATTGTCATCAACATTGACTTGAATGCCTATCCTGTCATCCACATAAGTAGTTCTGATGCTAGTGACAAGATTATTAATGTTACAGTTAGATTTTCCACAGAATCTTTTGAGTAGCATGACTCCG